GAGCAGAGCAAGCTGTTAGGCAGGTTGAATGACTATAAGCAAAACAAGTACTCCCTCAACATGTTCAGCAACTTCAGGAAGAACACGTAGGATGCACAGAACAGCCCTAAACACCTGGAGAAGGGGCAGCAGTAGAAACCTCACCAGAGGAGTCTGGGAAGGATCCTGAGACTATTAACAGGCAACTGCCCCATCATAGTGCAGGAGGCCAGGCAGCCCCCAGCACCAGTGGGTGATACTCGCTTTGCAGGCAGAGAAGAGAGGTGGATACTTCGCAAGCACAGCACAAGTGTCTAAGCAGCAGAGCCTACCACTCACTCAGGCTGAGCCGCAGGGTCTTTCCTTACCAACGCTTTCCCAGGCTCCTGTGTAAGCTTCTGCCCTCTCCTTGCACTGAGGGCCAGATGTGCAGACACAGCGTGCCCAAAAGATGGAGATACTGCTCCCTAAGGCATGTTGCAAAGTGGTAGAAGCACCATCCCCCAGACTGCTGGAGGAGGTGTTCATCCAGCCTTAGGGCACCAAAGGCCCAGGCAAGCACAGCAGCACTGTCCAGCAGAAAGAACGGGACACAGGTTCATTGCAGTCCCTTACCCAGAAAAGGCAAAAAAGTCCTGATTAGGGTTTATTATACAAAAAGACAACAGAGATCAGACAAAGCACGGCAAACGTGCAGAGGCAGATGAGGAGGGCAGGAGCCTATACAGCATCATCCAAATATCCCCATGTACTAGGCTAAGACCACAACCAAACATCTGCACCAGGGCCTGAGACACTGCAGAACATCACAATAGATGACCGCTGTATTCCTGGCACAATTCTATCAGCAGAAGAGCAAGAAAGACACTCAGTCATTTCTAGGTATTAAGGTAAATATTTACGATGCCCAACACTGGTATTTTCATCTTCTTGGAAGACAGAACACACAGTCCAGGTTTGGAGCTCAAGACAGGCAATGAATTATTCACCGTACCTGTAGAGGGGATCAGCAATCTTCTCCAAACCCTCAAGCAGTACTTCAGCACATCTCTGGGATGGAGACAACCTTTGCTACGCGTTCAGGACTAAACTGGTCCCACAGAAATGCTGCAAGAAGACTGCACCAGGTCTATGTTGATTTGAATTTCTGAAGGAAGACCTCCTCCGCAGGGCTTTGGAAGTAGGAGAGTGTGGAAAACTATGAGAGTGGGTCACAGGTACAGTATGGCTCTCACTGCTCTTCAAAGTGGTGCCATGCAGTGGCATATATCACAGGGACCATGTCACCATCCCCTCCCAGCTGATGCTTACCTTCCCATGGCTTTGCTATTCTTCATCTACTCTACATTCATCTAATTTAAAGCTCTGGTGGAAACATTTTCTCATAGTCTCCAGTTTCTGCTCACCTTATTTGCCAAGGCAAAGGCAGGGTAAGTGAGAGAGGTCAGTGGTTAAGTCCAACTGCTATGTCAGGAGCAGCAACTCTGACCTGAGGGCTTGGTGGGGCAGAAGCATGACTGAAAACTTCACTTTGTGGAAGGTGAGGATAGGAGTCAGAAATCTGGGACATGGTAACTGCACTTTAACAGGGCTTAGGCACCTGGACAGTACAGAAAATGCAGGGACCATCAAGGATGCCTGTGCTCTTAGCACTTCAGCTGTTTAAAGAAGCAGGAGAAAACCGTTAGATCCAAATACCAAAAGGTGGTGTGAACACAGAAGCCGAGATGAGACAGAAAAACATTTAAACACCTAAAATACAGAGCAGACATTGAAGGACATCAGGTGACTCCCCCCCGACTCTGAAATGTCTCTGAATATCACCCTGAAGCAAGAGACTTCCCAAGTTTGACCCTGTAGGCAAAACATGCACCTGCTCTCCCACTGGTGCAAAACAGCAGAGAAGGAAGGGAAGACATCGAGCGTTGGCCCTTCTTTTCTGCTCACAGAAACAAGAAAGCCAAGACCTAGCTGAAATAATGAGTGCTTCCTAGAGGCTTGTGTCTCTTGACTTTAAGCCAACTGGGAAAGTTGGGGGGAACAAGTCCTTTGGAATAATAAGCTATGTCCAAATTCTGTATACAAGACAGAAGATCAGGTTGGATCATAGGTTGGATGAGAAAGTGCTCAAGATGGCTCCTTCCAGAAGAAATGCACACACATATATTCACTTAAAATACAGTAAGTGATCCCAAGATGATGCTTTAAGACCACTTTCAAAAAAACCCTGCAGCATAAACAAAGAACTGTCCATAAGCAAAATACCTTCAACCATTCCCTCTGCAAAACCTCGAACACGGGGGAAGACGGGCTTTACAGCGTTGGGTTTAAAACCCCCATGTTCTGGTGCCCCTGAAGCAGTGCTGTACATAGGAATCACTTTCACTTGCTCATCACTGCTGCTGTAACGCTTGAGAGGCGCAGATTTTGCTACTGGAAGTGTATTCTCTCCAGGACTCTAAATTCTGGTTGTAAAGGTGTCTTATAGATATTGGCCATGGCACGTTTCTAGCCTGTTGTCATGCACCTCTTGAGTAAGAGGGGTCATATTCTATATCCAAATCCTGTCCCCAGGTAACTAATGTCTGGGAAGCAAAGTCTTCTCTTGTCCTCTGAAGCCTCCAGTGTATTTTTGCTCTCTAATAGATTACCCTTTTAATTCATAGACAGTTTCTGCCTTACTCTCTTACCAGGGCCCACACACTTCTGTCCAAAACACACCCCGACTGCTGGCTCAGCTCTGGAACAGCGGGGCGGCTGAAGGCATTTTATGGAACAAGCAGAGCGCCATGATTATAGGGTTTTATTCTCACATTAATAAAAAGTGCAAAAGCAGATGCCAATGACCACAACCTGGCACCGCGATTTCTGGAGCCTCCTGCCCACAAACATAGGAAAGGGCTCCACCTTGACCACACGGCGGGCCCCTGTTCAGAGCACAAAGGGCATTGTCACCTCCAGACCAGTGGTCCCATGGATTCTACTACCTTGCTGGCTTCACAGCGCCGCACGATCTCTGACCTGCGCACAGCACCGGGCTGGATGGTGGTGTATTCCCAGTCCTGTGTTCCCATGGCATGGATAACGTGAGTCCAGGTTTAAATTACATAGCAGGAAAGGGGTTAAAGTTTAAATGACTGTTTTGTATATGAATTAATGTATGTAGCTTTGAGCCAAAATATCTACCATTAATTTTTCCACCTATTTCAGGAGCAGTAAGATACACAAAGTAAAGTTTATTTTGGTACTTGGTATACTTCACTCTCATTAAAAATAAATTAATCAGCAAATTCCTACACAGCTCAGCCTTCTTTTATGTAAATACAACCCAGCTGTAATGAATTACAAGGTGTTATTATCTCACACACACTGTATAATACTTCACACATAAGAGGTTTCTCTGCTTAGCTCAGCTTTCAACAAAAGCATCTTAAATAAACTGCAAGCAAGTTGTTTGGTCTGTAATGTTTTCACAGAGAAGGGATACACCTCACACATAGAGGGTTTCTTTACATGACTCATTTTATAACAAGTTAAACTGAGGAAGTTCGCCTTGGAAAAAAAATAACAAAATGCCTTTTTCATACACAGAAGGTTCCCGAAGAGAAGATTAAAAAAAAAAAAAAAAAAAAGCAAGCCAGTGTTTGGAGCCTACGTTCTGCATCCCACTGCTCTTTACACAGCGAAGGGATGTCAAATATTCCCCAAAACACACAATGTGAAGAAAGCAACTTCAGAAGGAAGAACAGTCCCAGCCAGGCACAGTCACGCTTCCGCCAGACTACGCATTCGCAAATGAGGGATTAATTTCACAAATTAAGGATTATCACCTTCAACTTTTGTTTAATAGTTTTATTAGGAATAAGCTCTGGTATTATGCTCTTATCAAAAGCACACATGGCACAGAAAACACATACACATCAGTTTTACCCAGATTGACATTTATTATTGACTAGGATTTTAGACAGGAGAGAAATGAAAACTGTTTTTGTCACTGACCTGGAAATAGCCTGGTGAACCATCCACCTACGCAGCACACCTCAGCCTCTGATGATTTAATCAGTGGAGCTCCTGCTCCCGTAATTACTATGTTGGTGTAATTTGCCTGCACAGCCATATAAAGCTTTCACTGGGGTTGACAGGTCTTGTTAAGAGCCCTGGACCACTGCTTTGGGGATGGAGGACAGCACAGTCCTGTCCCATTAGGAGCCATGGACAGAAACAGGGATGTTCTTTTCAGGAAGAAATTCTTAGACCACAACTCTAAAAAGAATATGGGAATAGCAGCAAGGCAGACTGAAATACCAAGTACTCTGAGGCAGCTTTTAGTGACAGCCCAGTCACGTTTTGGACTTTATTCTCATGAAGATGGCTAGAGTCAGAGAGGATTACTGGGGACCGTGCATGATTCTTTGCATCCTCCTAACCTTGTGCAACACAGCAGAGAGTTCCTAAAAAAGATTTTCACAGAACCCTTCAGAATCTGTTAAAGCAATTCTTAACTCCATTAAAGCAAAAATGTACCATTCCATCTTGATATCAGGCTTTTAAAATACATTAACATCTAATATGCAAAGCTCATAATAAAAGCTCTAATATGCAACCCCAGCTGATATTGCCTTCACAACCATTCAGTGAGCAGAGGAACATCCTTGTGTCTCTGTGTAGCAGCTCTCCAAACGAGGCAAAGGACAGAAATGTCTTCTGGAGATAGAACTCTAAGTCATGGTAAAATACCTGGTCTCCTAGAGAAAGAAGGCAGCTCTTTCAATTTGTCAGCAAGGACCACTCAGTGCCATAAAAAGGACAGAGGTTCTCAAACCAACTAGTATTTATTTGCGGGTGAATCGTCGGAAGAATACGGCTGTCCCGTTTGCTACTGAGGCACCACGGATAGGATACCTAATTAAATATTTTCTTTTCAACAGCAGATTTTCCTTCCTGACCTCACAGCCTCAGCCCAGTTCAACGCTTCCCGAGCTGATCTGACAAATCGGTAGAAACGTCAGGCACTGGCGCTCTCAGAGTCCCTCATCGTTGTAAACAGGGGAAAGGGGCTTGAGGATGCTGCGGGCGTTGCTCTCCACGAGCGGCCGCCAGCTCACCTCGCCCGTCAGCAGCAGGTCCTCCCCGCTCAGCGCGTCCAGGTGCTGCACCTGCAAGGACAGGATGTTAGTGCAAGGTGTCCCACCACCCATTCAAGTTCAAGAGGTACACAAACACGTCGCTTTCCAGAAAGAAAGCAGAACTGGGGGATTTTAGCATACTTCACGACTTGTGTGAGGCAGACCTAAAAAGATAATTCATGACCGCTTAAGCATCACGGAAAGGTGAGGAGATAAGTATCTGCAGATCCACTGGAGTTAACTGCGTAAGGTCTTCTACTCACACCTTAGCTAATGCTTCATCTGAAAGTTTGGCAACAAGATCAAGAGCCACGCAAAGCTAACCTGAGTCATTTTATCTCCCCGGCAGTTAATTCAGATGACACACTGCTAGTATCATCATCTGCAAGGACTACTCTCAGAGAAGTGGTTTCACATAAACCAAGACTTTTCACTATAGAAAACTGGCCTGACCAGCAGGGAACACCTGAGATTTATAATACAAAGCTCACGAGCTGGAGGAGATAAACATGGAATGAATGCTCATTCTCACAACACAAGAAATACTTGGGATCATCTGAAATTTTAAGGTGCAATGTAAGCAAAGTAAAACAACCCTTGTCATACAACACGGGGTGAACTTGCTGCCACAGGACACTGTAAACACGGGGAGGAAGGGGAAAAAAAAAAAGAAAGAAGTCCATCAAGGGTCAGTAAAAGACAAAACCACCACCTCGGGCTCAGGAAGCGTGTGAATGCAGATTGCTAGGAGAGTTGACCAGGGAAATAGTACACATGCTTGCTCTGTTACTATATTCTTCCCTGGTATCCACTAATAGCCACTGTTAAAGGCAGGATCAGCAAGAAATTGTGGGAAAGACCTCGTACACAATGCTTACTGGAAACAAAAGACAATTTGACAAGGAGTTGCTCGACAGAGGAAGGAATACACCAATGGCCACCGAGGGTCAGACCAGAGCCGCCTAAGCACAACATCCCGTTTCTGACTGCCATCAACAGCAGATTCCCCAGGAGGAGTTAAGTACAACACATGCATGCAATGTCATTTTCCTTGTTTATTTTCCCTCCCTCTCAAAATTTGTTAGTTCGGGGATTTTGAGCCTGAAGCGGTTGTTGTGGATTTAATAGCCCTTGACAGACTTCTCTTCCATAAGCCCTGCCAGTGGCTTTGGAACCCACGTGCAAGTGTAGCCACCCAAACAACTTGTGGCAACATTACGTCCCCACGTTCTTGTATCAGTGAACAGCCCTTCCTTGCTCACCTTTTGTTTGCCCTCAAGATTTTCCAGAGCTCTCTCATATTCTTTCTCAGCTGTTTTTCAGGCAGGGGATCATACTCACTGCTAATAAAGGAGCAGTTTCACGTCATCCTTACTGCTTTTTTCTGAGCCTTCTTCAGCTCAGTTTTTATCTTTCTTGGTGCTCGGAACCCAAACCATACACATTATTCACGATCAGAAGGGTACCGTGGATTTAAAAAGTGGCACGACAACATTATTTTATTCTCTATTCCTTCCTTAGTAGTTCTGAGCATTTGTTTTAGTTTTTTAAAACACTACAGAGTGCTGAGCTGACATTTTGATAATACAATTATAATCTCAAGGACTCATTCCTGTGTGGTAACAGACAGTTTAGAGCTCCTCAATATGAATGTAAAGCTGGGACTGTCTTTCTCAAGTGCACCACTGGAGACAGGAACGATCTGTCTTCACAGAACTGTGCTCATTCCTCCCCATTGTGCCACCTTTATCTGTGTAATCACTGTTTCCTATTGCACTGCTGGTAGCTTCTGTCCTATCCTTTGCTTGAATAAACAGAAGTGCAACCAGTTCCCCACCTGGCAGCAAATTGTCCCAAATCACATACTTTTTATGTGTTTGCTCCCTGCCAATCTTCAGTTTTAAACTCTCCTACAGCCTCACTGATGTTAAGCATCAGCAACCTTAAGCACTGAATTAAGTCTGTCCCTCCTGAGAAGCCCTCTAGCATTCCAAAAGTGTCCTCCACCCCTTACAAAGTTTAGCCCTTTACTTCCCATACCATTTTCTCAGACACACACTGAAGTACCGTCTCCCCAAATCTCTATCTGGTCCTAAATATAATATTGGAAACATTACAGAGAATGCTGTTGTGGAGGTTCTGGTCTTCAGTTCCCTGTCCAACAGCCTACTCTCTTCCTCCAGACCCTCGCTCACCCCTTTTCTGTCTTTGGTACTCACCTGGACTATATCCTACCAACACTTCCTAGAAACTTGGTTTACAAACCTCCTAAGGGTCGAGAGGACAAACACTACTTAGTTATTGCTTCCTCAAGGTAATAACTGAAAGAAGCAGAAATAATTCTGGGAAACAAAACGTTTTACTTCTTCCCCACAAAAATCATCAGGAGACTGTCAAGCTCTGTGTGCTCCTTCATTATGAAGAGGATCCCAACGCTGCAACATCAATTATAATTCCACAACAAGTTGCAGCCCATTTCTGACACATTTTGTCAAGCCCCTCTGTAGCACAGATCCAGAAAAAGATGAGCAGGATGGCTTTCAGTATCCTGTGAACTTCCCTGCAGCCATTTTTCATCAAACTGCAACAAGTACCAGCCAGTTTTTATATTTTTACCTTTTTCTCCTTAAAAAGAATCACTGATTATAAAAATCGGTTATATTTATGAGGAGAACTGAGCTACAAGGTATGCAAGCAATAAAAAGCCGTAATACTCTAAACAAGAGAACGAAGAGAGGCCGCACTACGAGCTGCAGCGTACCTGTTTGCGCACGTACTCTACGAGTAACTCCAGGTGACGAGGGTCCTCACAGTTCCTGTTGAAAAGGTTTCTCCAAAGAGCAGCTGCCAGAACATGATCATCAGACAAGATTCCCTAAAGGAAGTACAGGGGGGGATTAAAAACTGCACGTGAAGAGGGTCTGAGCACAAGACAACCACTCACTCTACTTGGCAGCTGACGGCATGAGCTGTCTTGAAGCCACTATGGACTGTACACACAAAAAGGCATCAGCACCACCCTTCCCCAGAATGCAAAAACAACCCTGGCCTTAAATCAATTTACAGAGCAGCCTGTAACAAACATTCTGGCAAGTTAATTTGAAAAAAAAATGGATCAGGTTATTTCTAACGTAGGAGCTGATAATTGCATTTCTTTGCTATAAAATCTTTACCATAAAAATTCTGGCCTTACAGAGAAGGCAGCACCACCTCACAGAATGTGTGAAGCCCATGACACTTGGAAAAGAAAAATTAAAAGGTATGTAACACAATGTTGCATAAATGTAGTCAGGACTTCACTATTTTGCTTTGCTTTTCTATGTTTCATTCTAAATGCGAAACAGAACTCCTCATCATCAAGAACTAGCTAGATTTTTCCAGTTAAATCTAATATTAAATTTGGCTTAGACAAGAATCACACCCACGAGCGCATTTGTCTAAATTCTCTGCTGCTTTCATTGTCTTTTTAAATTATACGGTGTTATCCTTCTTTATAAAACAAGAAAAATGAGTAAATTCAAATCAGCGGGTGTTGGAAACGCTTCCTCTTTTTAACCTTGTACACGTTCTTCCCGCCGCCTTCTGCTGACACATTTGCCAAACACAAGAGAGGACTTTAAAATATTCAGTTAAAAATAAAAAAGGTCAAGATTTGTCTTTAATTTAACTAGACATTTTGTTTCCAAAAAGAGTCAACAAAAAGAAAAAAAAGACACAGGCAGACACATCCTGGCTAAACTTTAAACTACATTAAAGACTTGCTTGCATCACACTGTCCACAACACAATGAAGTTTACATTTACAAGATATTAATAATGCAAATGACGGTGCAAAAAATAGTAACACCATGTGAATAAGAAGAGCATCTGAAGAGCAACACTCACTACAGCAAAAAAATGACTACAAAAAGAGATGACGTCATTGTATTTTCTTCTTGAAAGTCCTGCAGACACTTGTGCACAGTGGTGCTTTTGCCTCCCCACATTATCAGATACTTCCTACAAATGCCCCCTCACACAGATCCCCTGTAATAGTCTCTTTGCTTTCAAAGTACAACAGGATTCAGAGGGAGGAAATGATCTGCTGATGGCCAAGCAGTGACAGTGAAGCAGTACAGAGAATATAGCTCCTTCCATGCCCCATGGTTTATATCAATACGCTGTGTGCTTGCCTTTTTCTTAAAAGCACTTTAATTCAAGGCCTAAGATGATTGCAGTAACTAAGAAGTCTGCTCTCCTAAGGTAACATTTCTCCAAAGATATGTAAGGCAAATGTCACAGCCATCTGGAATACTTTGTGTTCATGAATTAGATGGTCTACTTGTCCTTGCACATTCTCTGAAAACATCCTTCTTACCTCATCATATCCAAATAGAGCTGCATAGAAATTTTCTACCATAGTTCTCATATCTTCCTTTAGAACAACAGAATTAATCTGAAAAACAAACCAGAAATAAATACCATCTGTATAGGCTCTAAAGAGGAGGTGATGAGAAAATATCATCAATTTCACTCTGAGTAGGCAAAGAAG